CTGATGTCTTAGCAAAAGTTTGTAGATCGATGAATGTAAAATTGGCAAATGTTGATAATAAAGTGTCTGTAGCTTTTCATATGAGAAAGAGTCATAAGCTTCCCTTTGTTTTTTCCAATACTATGTATAATACTCCATGTAAGCTTGTGTTTTCCGATCTTTGAGGGGCCCCTCATGTTTCGTCTAACGGGTTCCGATATTATGTCACCTTTGTGGACGCTTATACTCGCTTTACGTGGTTGTATCTCATGAAAGATAAGTCTAAGCAATGATAACATTTGTTCTATTTCAAAAATTAGTGATTACTCAGTTTGGGTCATCCATTAAAGCTCTACAGACGGACTGGGGTGGTGAGTACAGAGTGTTGTCTTCTGTTCTGAGCAAGGATGGTATTACTCATCGAGAGTCTTGCCCTCACACGTCTGAACAAAACGGTGTGGTTGAACGGAAACACCAGCATATAGTTGAGTTGGCTTTTGTTCTGCTTGATCAGGAACTCTTCGATACTGGTCATATGCTATGCAAAAAGCTGTGCATCTTATAAATAGGCTCCCTACAAAAGTGCTACATAATATGTCTCCCTTTCAAAAATTATATAGTCAAAAGTTGACTATAGGTCGATGAAAGTTTTTGGTTGAAGGTGTTTCCCTCATCTCAAGCCTTTCCAAACTCACAAACTTGACTTTCGGTTCCAGGCTTGTGTGATTTTAAGATACAACAGTCGGCACAAAGGTTTCTTGTGTCTTGCGAATGATGGACGAGTGTATGTCTCGAGACATGTGGTTTTTTTATGAAGGGTGGTTTACATTTGCTCATAGTCCAGCTGAGTTACGAGTGTGAATAGATTCCCATGTCACTCTAGAGCTTTGGAGGTTGTTACAGATATTCATCGGTTTCGGTCCTTTCGGACCGATTGTTCAACGTGGCCTACAGCTGTAACAAGCGGATCACATCATGGTGTCAATACGGGCGTCAGTGCAGAATTGCAAAAACAATGATTATAATATGGGTGACAACACTCGTGTCAGTACGGTTATTCAAGGCTTTGTTGATAGTTTAGGTGACGATAGTCCTGGTGATGCTGGCAGCTCTAACACTGGTGAGTTTCATATATGGTTGAACAAGCAACCGACCTGGAAGTCAACTCGGGCAGGAATGTTTCTCCTGTTGCTACTGGACCAACGGGTGTTCCGGAGGTCGCAAGCGGCGCTAATGAGTTCAGTAGTTTATCTTTAGCTAATGGCAATAATCATCCTATGTTAACGAGAAGTAAGTGTGGTATTGTGAAGCCCAACGTGTATTCGGTGGCTTTGGGTGATGAAGTTCCTAGTGATAGACATGAAGCTATGACGTTTGAACAATGGAGAGGTGCAGTTCGTGATGAGTTAAATGCCTTGGAGAAAAACGAAACGTGGGATGTTGTTAAGTTACTTGAAGGCAATACTGTGGTTGGGTGTCAACGGCTGTTCAAGCTCAAGCGAAACCCAGATGGAACCGTGCATAGTTATAAGGCTCGGTTGGTGGTAAAGGATTACTCTCAAGTGTTTGGGCAGGACTTTCGTGACACCTTCAGCCTAGTGGTCAAGTTTGCAACTATAAAAGTTATTCTTTCTCTAGGTGTGACTAAAATTTGGGCATTTAGACAAATTGATGTCAACTACGCGTTTTTGAATGGGGATTTGGAAGAAGATGTATATATGCAGCAGCCGCCTGAGTTAGAACAATGTGCCTCCAATAGAACGCAACTTGTTTGCAAGCTCAAGAAGGCTCTGTATGGGCTGCGTTAAGCACCGAGGAATTGGCATCTCATGCTCAAGGAATGTCTTCTACAGCTAGGGTTCACGGAGTCAAGGGCGTATGTGTCTCTTTTTGTTCGACGGAAACAAGACAACTACATATATGTTAGTGTATGTTGATGATATAATCATCATCGGTCAGTCTAATGATGATATTGAGGAGGTGGTTAAACTTTTACATGCCATGTTCTCGCTTAAAGATCTTGGCGAGCTGAGTTATTTTCTTGGCATTGAAGTAAAACAATGTAATGGTTCGATACTTCTTAGTCAAAGGAAGTTCGTATTGTAACTCCTTGAGAGAGCCAACATGACAAAGGCCACGCCAACTCCGACTCCTATGGTGGCTGTAACCAAATTAAGTCAAGATGGAGGTGAGCTATTGACATTTGCTCGTGAATATCGAAGTCTAGTCGGTGGTCTTCTATATGCTTTCCATACTCAGCCGGGCGTAGCATTCAGTGTTTGCAAAGTTGCACAATTTATGCATGCTTCAGGTGAAGTTCACTTTGCAACCGTCAAAAGGATATTAAGATATTTACCAGGACTCTAAACTATGGGTTTCCTCCTCAACGAGTACCTCGGGATTACGTGTGACTGCCTTTTTCGATGCGGATTGGGGAGGCAGTGTGGATGACCGAAGGTCTATTTCAGGGCATGAAGTGTTTGTGGGAGCTACTTGGTTGTGTGGTCGTCGAAGAAGCAGAAGGTCGTGTCTCGTTCAACTATGGAAGCCGAGTATAGGAGCGTGACAGAAGCTGCTGCTGATAAATATTAAATTTTAAATCTTATTCAAATTTAAACTATGAATTATGTGTCTTAAAATCTTAACCCTAAAGCTTTAAAGCTCTAATCTCAATTGTAAAAATCATAAACTATAAAGTATAACTGAATTCTAAGCCTAACCATAAACATTAAACATTAAATCTTACTTTATAACTTTTATTGATTAGTTTTATTTAATTACTTTCTTTTATTATTATGAGGCTTTTATTGATACTATATGTTCCAATGACTCAATTATTTGATAATCAACGGTTAAATATCTTGCAGTTTCTGATGCTCGAACATCAGGCATCTAGAAATAACAATAGTTCATTTACTCATTAAGATAAATTGACTCGTGGTTTTATTTAATTACTTCAGTCAACGATAAATAATGTCATTTTATATAAACCTTAATTTATAACAATATTTTAATGATAATGTTGAATAATTATTGTAATAGTTAAATAATAATATTATTAAATTTTATAGTAAATGATTTTGTGTATTGTATTTAATGTTTATAATAATTAATTTTTTAAAAGAGTATTACAGTTTTTAAAAATAAAATTATCCAAATATAAAAACATCATATTATAAATTTATTTAAGATTATTTTCAACTAACAAACTCTTTATATTATAATCATGGTTTTCAGAACCGGATCGGTTAGCGAACCGGTCATGTTATCGGTTCACTGGTTCAACCAGTCGAACCGGTCCGACCGGTCGGAAGAACCGGACGACATCATAATTATTTGAAAAATTAAATAAAAATACCAAAAATATTTAATAAAAAATAATTTTTTATATCACAAGTCATATTCAAAGCAAGTCATAACATATATAAAATAAAAACCATAAAATCAAGTGAAACAAAATGATTCAAATTAACTACAACATAATATTTAAAGTAAAACATATTAAATAATAAATATAATTATATAACTATAATTAAAAAATAAATTTGGGGTTAAAAAATCATAACAAAATGATATTGTTTGGTTTAATTTTTTTTTAAACAATCTCACATGGCTAAGAAACATAGAAGAGCATTCCAAAAGTCTAAAGAGTAAAAATATGAGAACAAAACAATCTCACATTGCTAAGAAACATAGAAACGCATCACAACTAACTTCTATAAATAATAGAGGTAATTTGACATTCAAAATCATGGAGCCTTTTGGTGAGCATTGAGTGAACTATTCTTTCACTTCAATCAAGCTCGAATTTTAGGCTTCAATCGAGCTTCTAATTTTTTTTTTAGTTCAAGCCTTTTTGAGTTCAGGTTTCAATATTATATTTCGAGTTTGAGTTGAACTTGATAATTTTTAGCTTGTGAGTTTGAGTTGAGTTGAGCTTACTTTTAAAGTTTTCAAGTTCGAGTCGAGCTCAGCAATACTCGAGTTCGACTTGGCTCGTTTAACAAACGACGTTGTTTGGTTTAATTTTTTTTTTTAAAAAAAAACAAAAATCCCAGTTTTTCCTGATTTTTTCCGATTTTCAGCCGGTCCGGTTCGAACGGTTCAGCGGTTCTGACCGGTTCACTAATAGCGATTCAACCGGTTTAGATTGAACTGGACTAAGTAACGGTTCCCGATTGAACCGATTGAACCGACCGATCTTATCCGATTTTCAAAACAGAGATTATAATATTTTCCTTTCATATATATATATATATATATATACACACCTACATTGTATAGCTTCATCATCTTTGACCAACAAAGAAAAAGTAGCATGATGGATCTTTGATTGACTTCATTTTCTTTAACCCAGGGCAAAAATTTTTCAAAGCCCCTTATTAGTCCAATTACATTTAGGTATTGGCATGAGACCAAACTCAATGGGTTTCAATTCGATCGGACCATTTTTTTAAATTCATGCTTGAGTCAGGTATTAAATTAAAATATTTGAGTTCGGATCGAAGTCGAATTTAAGGTTAAAAATATCATATCCTACTATTATTATTTTTTTTTATAAGTTTTTAGTTTCCCTTTGTAAATTCCCCACAGAGGCACCGACGTTCATTTCTTTTCTAGAGGCAATACCCTAATTCGTGCATTCCTGCTCAAGATTCTTGATGGTGCTCAAGATTTCTTGCTCCAGAATAAATTTTAAAAATTTCAATTCATTCTCAAGTACCCAGTAATCGATTCATCTTCTAGAGACAATACAAAGTAACAAAAACCATAAAAAAACCGATTGTTTACGACAGAGATTTGTGCCCTAAATTGGTCGCCGCCGAAGATGACGCCTTGAATGCATTCGTTCAGCACCATCAGTATTGATCTGTTTGTTTGTCCTTTCGTTTAATAGAACACATGTACAGTATGATTTTGATATACAAGTTTAATGATCCTCGATTATTCTCTTGTTGTGCAGATCAAAAATATTGTTTCAGCAATCGTGCCACCAGGTTGATTTCCAATGGATTGTGTTTCATTTTGTTTCGTTGATGTTGAGAGGTGAATCATATTAGATGATTGTAATTGATATTGTGTTAACATTGTCTTCAGTGTCAATAACGTATTCCCTGAAGTGAGTCTGAACTTCGCCGGTGGTGCAACGTTGGTTTTAAACCCTGAGGACTATCTTCTCCAGCATAATTCTATTGTGAGTCATCTAAGGCTTCAGAAACATATTTCTCCACTCATATTGTATTTTCATTTAATCATTATCTGATGTTTTCATCCCAAAGTGCAAGCGCATCGGAACAATCTTAGAAGTTTGACTGTAGCATTAAGAACGTTTGTTATCTGTGGCATATTGCTTCTATGTCATGATTTCCTAGTTGATCGTTTGGCTTTGTTTCTTGCAGGGCGGTGTTGCAGTTTGGTGCATTGGCTTTCAGAAAATCGAGGTTCAAAGTATAACAATTTTAGGAGGTAACATAGAATTCCAATTGAATGGAATTTACTTAGTTTTTTGATTTCATGAAATTTGGACCTTTGGGAAAGTGTTCCATTTCGGTAATGCTCCGATGCGATGATTAGATATTTGAAGCATTGACATTACCTGGCGCATGAAATTATAATTGATGTCTTTATCATTTTTGGTAAATTATATTGATAAATTTAGCATCACTTAGTTACTGTGACTATTAATTACCATCTTTGATGTCTTTATCATTATTTGTATACATTAGTTACAACTTTTGATTTAGTTTAGGAGAAATGAATGTCCATCACAGTTTTCATTTGTTTGCTAAGATATTAATTGATGTCTTTATTATTATTTGTACAGGAAATGTCTAATTGGGAGAGAATTCCATTGCATCCACATCTCCTACTTTTAACTCTCCACAACTATCAACCGAGAAAAGTCCATCACCGAGTTCTGAAGGAAATTCAATTCCTACATTAAGTCAACCTAATGTTGTGGTTGAAAAATGTGTCAAGCGCATGCACTTCATCAAGTCTATGGGCCGAAGAAGGTACAAACACATTTATCGTGTAATTTAAATTATTTTACTTATATGTTTTGTCATTATTTCTTATTAGATTTTATTTTCATTTACTATGTTTTAGAATCAAACTCAAATGAAGGAAAATTTTATGAAGATGATGAAATCGAACAAGATGAGATAATTGTAAGTAATAATTTCATATTTGTTACTTCTATTTTAATCTTATTTTTAAATAGTTAATTTATAATTTTATTTTATAGGATTTGAGGGGTTAGCTAAGATTGAAGAATGTGAACTTGTGAAGCCGATGATAATGGATGATTTTTTCCATCAAACATCTGTATTTATGTCTCATTTTATTATAATTATGTTTGAACTTTGAACTTATTTAAGTATAGTATGGATTTATAATTTTAATTGTGAACATGTATTTTAATTATGGATTGGAGTATGGAGATGTATGTTGGATGTTGTTTTTCTTTAGGGGATTGTTTCCTGAATTGAATTCTAGTTCATCCTTTTGCATCTTTAGCCTCTGGACATTAAAACGATATGAAAAATTAAGTCGAAAAGAGGGTCTTTTGTTTTCTTCGTAGTGTCTACACCATCGAGGGTGAGCTTTGAGTTAGAGTGGCCATCGATCTATGGCCAAGTGAGTGACCGTGCGCCCCTTGTGAACCTAATCTTTAGGATTTCAAAGTGTTATTTTTCCTCTAAATTTGAGAATATGTAAAAGTGAGATTCAAAGCATTTTCATGCCTTAGTTGTGGCTTTTAAATGCCCTTAAAAGTGTCAAAGCATTTTCAAGCCTTAGTTGTGGCTTTTAAATGCCCTTAAAAGTGTCATTGATTTTGTCTCCTTCTACCCATTAGGAGCGTGTTCTTGTGCAGGAGATATTTCCACGTCTAGCCCTTGTAACTTTTGTAAACATCACTATTTGGTCCTTAAATGAAGTTCATTTTAGTACTAAATGTTGTTTATATTTTTTTAGTGCCTATATTTTGTATTACTTACATTTTAATCCTGTCTTTTCCATGTTTGTTATTTTATCTTTAATGTTTCTATTTTTATTATTAAAGCCACTCTTTTGTATATTCTCTTTTAAGTCTTACTTTAGAACTTGGTTTCTCGTACTTGTATAGTTTTCATTGTTAATTAAACATGTTTGCATCTTTAGTTCTTAATAGCCTTTACGTGTGTGACCTGTTATATGCATATCAAATAATACTGGTAGCAGTAGCATGTCTACTAATGAGAGAAAATCCTCTCTCTTCTCTCTAGGTTTTCCCCCTTTGTTCTCAAAGGCACCCTTTTGGTTTTCCAGGGGAAATGGTTTCTTTAGGTGCTCACCTAAACCCGGTCATGTTCGACATGGTTTAGAGAAGAGTTCTTCACTTTTCTCCCCTGGTTTCCCCCTTTGGTTATCCAAAGATTACACTTTTCTTAGGTCCTTACCTAAATCCGGTCAAGTTCATAGTGATTCCTAAAACAACACGGTCAAATTTGTCCTGCTCCAGTACTCCATCTCTCGAAAAGGCAAAAAAAATCACTTGTTTGTTATCTTCACCTACATGGGCTGTTCAATAATCATTTTCATTTTACCTTAAGTCTGGAGATGTATGTTGCATGCTAGGTAAGTGTCTTGTGTTATCATTTTTTAAGTATATTTTATTAAATAAAAAATCAAATCATGTCGGGTTGGGTTGGGTTTTTAAATTATATATCAAATTGGGTTCGGATCGGGTGAAATCTTGTTTTATGCGGGTCGGGTCGGATCTCGGGTGGAGAAGTCATTGTTCTCAGGTCGGGTCAGGTGCATCAAAAATCTAACCCAACCTGATCCATGCCCATCCCTAATTACATTGCATTCCCTTTTCATTTTCAAAATAAAGAACATGCAAGTTTTTCCATTCAAATTATAAAATCTTTTTTAATTAAAATAGACGGACCAGGAGTTTTTCTTCATAGGGAAATGGGATAGAATATGAAAAAGAATTTTAACATATATATATATATTCACTAAGATACACTCAAGTTAAGCAGGACAAGCTAGAAAAAAATTAGGTCAAAGTTGAATTAAATTTTTTTATTCAAAATGAAACATTAAGAATCAAAATTCTCTAAAAAGGAATAAGGGTTAAAGTGTAGTCAATAAAAAAATAAGGATATTTTTATCTAAAAAATAATACATTAAAAAATTAAAATATTCTAAAAAAAGAATAAAAATAAAATAATTATTTTAATAAACATTGAAGCCTAACTCTAACAGTATACCCTATTTAAATTGTGGGAAGAAGTATTACCACACAAATTACAATATTGTATTCTGAAGTCAATGGATAGTTGGAAACAAAGATGGGCGTTGGTTAATTTTATCGTATGAAATAATTAAAAAAACACTAGAGGACCCACTCAAAGAATAAACCCTTATTGTGCTGTCTTAAACGTGAGCAATATGACGAGATAGACGGACACATGCTGACATGCATGCCAGTAGACCCTTTTGTTTAGCTAAGTTAACATGGATGTACAAATTAATTAAAGAAGGTTGAGTCAACATACATTACCTACTTATGTTTGAATTCAAATAAAAATAACCCATATTTACAAGAAATGTAAACTACAGAAAGAGGTCAATTTTATTTTGATTTTGGGTGTTCAACTTTCAATTGTTATAATTTAGTTATTATTTTACGTTATCGACTAATAATAATTTTATTACTAAGATGTTAACTCATGTTACATCGGTAGTGCGGAATGTTAATAAACAATTTAATTTATAATTTGATTTTTAAACTTTAGATAAAATATAAATTAATATTTTGATCATAATTCTATAAGAACCCTAATCATTGTCCTTGATTCCACTATCATTGTCTCTCCTATCACCTTCCCCGATCGAAACCAACATAAGATCCTTATGCATATGATTTGGTAAGCTTAATGATGAGGAGACTAGGGCTATAAATGAGACGAGTCGAGTTCGAGTATTATTGAGTGAACTCAACTCGAAAAGTCCAAAGTTTACTCGACTTGACTCCAAAGCACATGTGCTTAAAATTATCAAGCTCGACTCGAACTCAAAAAAAATTGAACTAGAAATATTTTTAGACTTAGCTTGTTTGAAGCTTGAGCTCAAACTTGAACTCGAACTTGAACCTTAAGTACATGAAAATCTTATATTGTATTTTTTAAAAATCAACATATAAATGTTAATATTACTAATAATTTAATTTAAAAAATAATATTTTAATATTATTTTTTTGAGTTGCTCATTAACTTTTCGATTTAGATATCAAATAGTTCGCTTCGGCTCATTAAGAATAAGAAGTCGAGTCTATCCAAATTGAGAGATGGTCGAATCAAACTCAAATAATTTACGATCTGTCTCATCCCATTTACAGTCATAGAAAAAAATTACTATATCACATGGTTTATAGCTTTTAAGCTTAGGTTTTAGTCTCTTATTTTTCCCGTGCTTTATAGAAAAGAAAATAGGGGTGTGCTCTTTGTATGTGGTGCTTTGAAGGCAAAAGAAGGTGAACTTCATCATCAACCATCATCGATGGTGATCTTGACGTCAACCTGAAAAAAGTACATGAAATTTCCAGGCTTAAACGTGGTTAAGTTAAGATGGAAGCATACATACGTTATGTATCAAAATAAACATATCAATAAAAGCTCAAAGAACGAACCAAGAAAAACTTGATAAGAGAGTATTTTTCACCTCATGCATTCCTAGTTACTCCAATCCAGGCCATTGAAATCCAAGACAATTTTGATAACGAGACTTGTTCTTTGGTTGATGTTAAATAAAAAACTCTTTAAACGGGTTTTTATGATCAGATTACATATATATATATATATAGGATATGTGTTGACGTTTTAACAACCAAATTGTTATTAACAATTTGAAGGCTGAGTGGACAAAATCATAAGACAATGAAGAAAAAATGACCCCTACAATAATTTATATAAAAAACATTATTCAAACTTCAACTTCTCACTCTTCCTATAATAAAATCACCCGAAATAGAAACTCATGTTTGAAGTCTAGCATATGAGTTGATCCAGCAAGTCATAGACTTTAGCTCTTTCATTTAAATTACCATATAATGAATATGAATATAAAAACAACAATTCAAAATAATTGAAGTTGAGAGGGGCAATATCCATTACGTAGAGTCAATAATAGCGATACACTTGCAGGTGGTGTAGAGCTTCCTTTTACTTAATTTTGAATCTTCAAATTACAAGTTGAAACGTCTCTGTCTTCCTTTGCTGACTTTCACTCCTTGCACTGCTGACATCCCTTTCTCCTAACCTCAAAGAAAACATGAAAATAGAGATGAGTATACCGTGTACGTTGTACACCGCAACATACCATTAAAGCGATGTACCGAAACGTACCATTAGCTAAATTGTCTTTATTAAGTAAATATTAAAAGGATAAATTATACGTTTAGTACTTACACTATTATTTTTATTTCGTTTTAGTACCTAGACTTTATTTATTTTTCAACAATCAACAATAATGTGATGTAGCATGACATGTCAATTTTTTTTGTTTTTCTATTTTCACATCATTTTTCTATTTTTCTGTCTGTATATATTTTATTAATTTTATTCAACCAATTAAATGGTGATGCGTGTCACCGATTATGAGGATAAAATAAAAGAAACTATTCTTAATCTTAGCATAAACTGAACCTAGGCCTCTTACTTGAAGTGCAAGGCACTCATCCATTGAATTCAGCTAATTATTTATATTAATTTTATCATATTTTGTATGTAACTTATATAATAATATCACCACAAAATCAATATTTTCTGATAATTATAAAATTCAAATATGTGACACTTTAAATTAATGATAGAAAGTTTTGTCATTCAACTATAATGTGAATCTATGTTTATTATATCAAACTTGATAATTACTTGTATCATAATTAAATTAAATAATTAATTTTCACTTTATTTAAAAATAAAAAAGAATTAAATAATTACTTTTATGTATTTATAAAATTTATATTAAATTATTCTAAAAAGTTTATTTATAATATTATGAAAATATTTTTAAAATCATACTATTTATTTATTTGAAATAATATTATTTGTAAATTGTGTATTTAATTTTAAATAATATTGCACGGAACCAAAGTAATAGTTGGATAATAAACGTATAATTTACCCTAAACTTAAATTATTTAAAATAAATAAATAATAATAATTTTTAAATAAATAATTAAAAAATTAAACAAAAATGATAATTTAGTTACAAAACTATAATTTATCTTTTTTAATATTTATCTAACAAGATAATTTAATTAATGATATGTTTCGGTACGTCGCTTTAATGATATGTTGCGGTAAATACAATACAAATATATAAATATATAAATATATAAATTTACTTTGATTTTCAAAAATCACCAAATACCATTATCAATATAGCACTATTTTATATTTACTAAATTGGTAAAATTATTTGTTTATAAATAACCAACACCATATGCCAATAAAATATTTTTACATAATTTAATGATAATTTGTATACTATATTCCACAATAATTATAACTATTTGTTAAGCATAAGCAGAGTTGATTTTTTTAATATTTAAAATTGAAATAGAATTAAAATTAAAATTTTATATAATAAAAATCAAAATTATATATACGGTTATATCAAATCAAGATTTATGTATAAAACTATACATTAAATCAAAATTAGTATAATTTCGAGGGTTTTTTAGAGAAGTAAATTTTACCAAAAAAAATATGAGAAGTATTTATTGTTATATATGTTGTGTTATCTTAGTAAAATGGTTAATAAAGTTTGGAAATTGCACTTAAGATGAGCTACAAAAGCAGTTATTGATAAATGATAATAAACTCATTTATGTACATTCTAATCGTTATCTAGATGACCATAAGTTGGTGAAAGCCCAACGGTGGATGTGGAGAGAACGGCGATAACAGTGGCATGTTAAAAATCCCCTTCGTGTCATTGTCCAAATCCAAAAATGACGTCCAATTTGACGGTGTCAAAGGCGCATCACCGTAATCTCTCGCTTTCGTCGCATCCTCATCTTTTTCTCTCTTCACGCTCTTAACTTGGCTTTCTTCACCAGCGCTGTCGTCGTCTCTGCTCCTTTTCCTCACTCCGTCTTCCTCGGTTACGTCCAACCTCCCGGCTTCGTGAGGGAAGTTAAGAATCGCTTTGGAGCCGCGGAGCTTGAAAGCGGCTCGGTCGTAAGCCTTAGCGGCTTCTACGGCGGTGTCAAAGGTTCCCAACCAGACGCGTGCACCCTTTCGGGTAGGATCTCGGATCTCAGCTGCGAATTTTCCCCACGGGCTTTGTCGGACTCCTCTGTAATGCTTACTTTTCTCTTCGGAATTTGAATTCTCCGGCTCTCCCTTAGTTAAAGCCGGTTGACCGAAATGAATCCACTCCACTTTATGCGGTAACGAGATTTTCAGCGACGGTTTTCGATTCTGAGAATTGGAACCCGGTTTCGAAGAAGCTTGAGGTTTTACAGCATAAATTTGAGGCTTAACTTCAAAGTTGAAGGGATTGGCGTTGGAAGAGAAGGGCTTAGGCGTCGTGAGATGGACAAATTGAGGTTTCGATTCAAATTCGAAACCTGGGAATTTTGGAGAGAAGTTAAAGAAATCATCATCGTCACGGGAGTTGAAATTAGATGCGGAAATACAGGAATCAGAGCTGGAAGTTTGAGAGTAGAAAGACTGAGATGGAGAGGTTGAAACCTCGGCTTTTGATTCATTTTTTCAATTGATTTCAGTTGAAAAACTCCCCAATCCTACCGGAGAAAATTCATCCAGTAAATATTGTTCGATATATTGAAGAGCACTGCTAGTTTCCATAACACCAGAACTGAAAAAGAAGAAAAATCTTAAACCATGAGCGATGAAAAATAAAATAAGAAGTGAAGGTGAAATATTATGATTGAGGGTGGGAGAGAAAGGTATTTTAGGACCGGAGGATGGCAAGTTGAAATGGATGAGTTTTCAATGGATGAAGGTACAACGAAGCAACGAGCATGCAAAATGACAAATTGGATTACGCAGCAGACATTTATGTGGGAGTCATCCTAAAATTGTATTTTGATCGTAAACTTATTACTCTTATCCCATTGAAACTGTGACTGCTTTTAATTGTCTTTTTATAATGGAGAATTTCGTTTCTTTCACTTGAAATTTTTAAAAATATTTTTCATAAAATAAATTATATTATTTAAAAAATATTTTTGAAATATATTTTACGATGTTTAAAAGATATTGTTTAAATCATTTTTAACTAGTTAATGAATTTTTTAATTTATTTACAAATATTAAATACAATAAATAATATTATTTATCATAAAACTTAATATTATTATTTTTAAAATATTAAAATAATTATTTATTATTAAAATATTATTTTTATAATTTATTAATAAAATATTAATATTGGTATATTTTATTGAAATAAAATATTGTAAATATATTAATTATTTATTAAAGTAAGTGTTATATTATATTTTAAAAATATTAATTAGTATATTTTAATATCTTTATTAAAATATTATATTAATATAAATATATAATAATATTATTTATTATTAATAATTTAATAATTTATTTCTATGAAGTTAAAATAATATAAATTTTTATTAATAATTATTATATATTATTAAAATAAAAATATAATATTATATATTATTATATATAATTGATTATTTTATTATAATATTAAACTATAATATATATTATTATAAATATTATAAATGTATTTTAATATTTAATAATTAATATTTTGATTAAAATGATATTAAAATATTTTATTAATATTAAATTCATAAAATAAAATTATTTTTAGTATTTATTTTTTGAAGTTAAAAGTTCGAAAAATGACTTACGGAAAATCAGACTGTAAGTTATTTTTCAAAAAACACAAAGGAAATTATATTGACCAGAAAAATATTTTACGTTAACAAACCAATTTTCCTCAAACTAAAAATTAGAAAATGGGATCGAGAAAATATTTTACGTGAAACAAATGGATCATAAATGTTGAACAATAGTTCTTTGCCAGGGATAGATGGAAATAAGGTATTACAACAATTCAAAAAGTACAAGACTTGAATGAAGATACTATTTCTGGAAGATATATACGAAGACATCTCTAAAAGTATAATAATATTTAATTATTAAATCTATATCATAAAAAAAATTATTCTAATCATATTTAAAAGATTTAACCCCTCATCATATTAAATCAAAATTTTTGTAAGTAAATCCTTTTTATTGTCTAAAATAAATTTTATTCCTTAATTTTTTTTTCATCTCTTTAGCCTTCTAACTTTTTTTCTTATCAAATTCAATTATTTGACTAAAAAAGTAATAGATATTTTATATTTTTTATGTTTTTGAAAAATATATTTTTCTGAGTTTTATAGTTTTGATAAGTTAAATAATTTTTTAATAATATAAATATAATTTTAGCAATTTATCATTTTAAAATATTTTTAATTTTTATACAAAACAAAAATCAATATTATTAGAAAGATAAAACAGTCGACACTAACTTATTCAATAGATCAATATATTCTATACAAAGCTAAACCCTATCAAGTAGATAAAACAAACTTTCAGGCCTAAACAAGTGTCTTAAACTATGAACAAATCTATCTAATTTAGTGTTTTCAAAGATTTTGAGATGTAATGGTTTTAGTTTCATTTTGTGAATTTATAAGTATCGATAGTGGTTCATCTTTTTAGTTTAGATAAAGAGTTGTCGGAAACAATGATTAAAGAGAATATACTTGAAAATTAATCATCTTTCTAAATTATTTAATTTCAATGAAAAACAATAATTAATGATTTGTTTTTCAAATCAAAACCATGCATGTAATAGTAGGAAGATTTGTGCTCTTCCTCACCTACTGCATTGTTGATCTAAATCATTCTTTTTGTTGGTATGCAAAATAATATTTTAAACTTTTCTACATTTATTTAATGGCTGAACAATACAACCCATCACCTGAACCAAGAGTATAGGTTAAAGCCGATACAATACGTACCCGTCGGAACCAACCACTCTGGTTTTCCATTCAAACAGAAGCAGCACCTAATTTATTACTTAACAATCTGGGCTATGTATATATAAGTCGTAATGATGCACAGATGAAAGGCATACACAGAAAAAGATCATATGATATGCTTCGAGTATGCTTACAGTGACTGGCCATCTGAATTCTAATCTGTAGTTGTTTGAAGGAAATTGATAGCCAATAACTAAGATGTACTTGCCATTCCCGCTTTCTTATGAAGGGCAATGACATTGAAGTTGAGTGACTCTGGATTTTTCTGGATCATGCTCTTTACGACTTTCGCCGCATCCTGTTGTACGAGGAAGAAACGGCTATATTAGCCGTGATCATACGCTTATCTCCAGAAATTAACGAAAACATGTATTCAGAATGTTGAAACCAGCCATTCACACTAAACTTAGAGACGCATCAATATTCAATCACAAGGCTGAAACAGTAACCACTCGTCTTAATGCAAAGCGTTTTGCTTAGCAAAAATTAACACGAAGCAGACCAGAGGAGTTTGAGATGGATTGTGAAAGCAGAAGTTGATGGTTCAAACTAAAACTTGTTCAACCAGTTGGAACTCCTCAAATTCGAAGTTGAAAGAGAGAGATGAGCAAGGCACCACACTTCTTCCACTTTTAATTTAATGAGGGCATGACAGTCAAAAACTAAAATGAAATGTTAAAAGAATTCCATGTCTTAAAAGCAAAAATGTACGTTAGAAGGAAATAAAAAACACAAAAAAATGTTTCAAGTGGCTAGCACAAACCTGCAATAAGCTACTTGGCGAGGAAGCCCCATGCGAAATTGGTCCCGACTTTCTTCCATCAAGCTCATAAAGTTCCCCTACATTAATGAGAATCAAAGCACTGAATATAATTATATTTAAGACGTTCCAAAAGCATCTCTAATGATCAAAGAGATAGAGATGGCGTTTTCCTTCTTTTTTTTTGGGTTATATTCTGAAATGACAGAGAACTGGAGTAACTGAGTAAGTACCGTCGACACATGTGAAGCAGATAAAATGAGTGTTCACATTGTCTGATGCCTGACAAGGAAAATTGTTAAGAGAACAGAAGAAATGGGATTCGACCAAAAAGAAAAAGATATTATTAACCCTCATAGTACGTATTGCAAAGATTCATCAAGAAAGTAGCACAGCTTTGCTCTAAAATATTGCAGAATAATATGACTTTGATTTCATGATCTAAAATTGTTAGTTAGTGAGAGAAGCTCCAGCTCATAGTCACATGGATCGCGGTACGCTCCGGTACGGGAACGTGGAACGGGATCGCAATTCGCTAGGTCCCTAAAATTCGGTACGAGGGGCGGTATACTCATTTCGGATCGCTTCGGTACGATGTAACATATAAATTGGTACGATGTACCAGTTTCTTAGGTTACTATTTTTCTACATCAAATTTTATAAGTAACTTCAAGACTTTAAATATCTTAGAATAATTTCAATACTATAGATTTCATTCAGTAACTTCAATATTTCAAAGTTGAAAATAAATTTAACACTTCAAAAGTTACTTTTATACTAAAATAAAATTTTAGAGGGATCAAAAAGTAGGAAAAGAAATAATAATTGAATAAACTTAAAACAAGTGCACATGAATTCTAGTGTACGAAGAAATTTAACAAAGCACGTGAAAGTATAGTTTTAACATAATAAAAAACAAAAGCTACACAGCAAACAAAGCAGGAAAAGAAATAAAAAACAAAAGCTCAACCGACACAAATTCTCTCTGCAGGAGACGATGAACGCCCAGATCCAAGGTTAGTTTAGCCTAATTCATTATCTTCTTCAGCCTTAAACCGACCCCGTCGTTCCCCCATTTTCTCTCCCTCAAGCTCCTCTTTAACACTCGACGAAACCCAAAGCCTCCATGGCATCCGCCGTCCTACGCTCCGACGAGGAGCTAGGACTCCATCTGAACCCAAAACTCGTACCGAATCGCAATTTTGAAACGACTGGAACGCCTTCGTACCGCGTTTCGGATCGCATTGTACGGTACGTAGATCGTGGGCTGTTGAGCGATTTATGTAACTATGCTCCAGCTTCTCTCTAACCTAAGCGATTTCAAATTTCCAGGGGAAGACGGAGAGAGATAATATGAGTGACGTTTAAACAGCCTTCACCACCGTCTTCCGTCGTTAGCCGTCCACCGTCTGTCGCTTGTCGTCCACCATCCTCCGACCACCGCCCGCCACCGCACTCCGACTTCCTTTTGACGCTACTTTTCTCAAGGATCATCGTCTATCCACAGCGTTTTCATATTCCTAGTTTTTTTTATAGATTCCCCTTCAATCGGAGCAAATCTACTCGCCTTTCTCCGCCGATTTTCCCTCCAACAGTCTTCCGAGTTCGTTTCAACCGTTCCACTGTGCTCGCCGGAAGCTCGCGACAAAAACCCATGTACTCTACTGTGAATACCCACTGCCGTTCACCGGAAATCTTCCTGTGAAAATTCCGTCACTGTTCAGAGTTAATATATTTCCAGAACGCTGCTGTTGGCTCTGGGTTTTCACGTACGGAGGCATAAACTTCCCTAGCAAAATACTTCTCTAGTTTTTTCGTTCAAATTAAAACAGTTCGGAAGCCTCTGCATTCAAAAATGACGTCCAAGAAACACGAAACAGAGAAACGAGCTGAAACCTCAGCTCGCCAGACTAAGAATCGTCGTCAGTCCGAGATAGAAGAAAAGGAGATCGCAAAACCTTTGAAAAAACCAGATAATAAGGCGAATTGAGTGGATTTTATACTGTCGAAGGTGACTGAAGCGTAGCAACAAAATCAGAGAGATGGGCAGCAGACAAGGTTTGTGCAAAAATCAGAGGAGGCGAGGAAGAAGCAGAGTAGTACAGTGGCAGCGGAAAAATATGAGAGGATGGATTTGGTGACAAACAAGAATATGGATGATTAGTTGGTTGAAGCAAGGAGCGTGGAAGGGGCCATTGCGCAGATTTCTGTGGCGGAAATCCTTCCACAGGATTCCCACGTTTTTAATTACTGGTGGAAGAAAGATCATCCAAGAATCAACAATGGGTATAGAACTGGCTGCTTTACGTTATACATTGATAATTTATCAGAGAAGATCCATTGGAAGCGGTTTGGATCGTTATTTTGCCCATACGGTCAGGTTATTGATGCCTTCATTCCAACCAAAAGAAATTCAAAGGTGTTTCGTTTCGGTTTTATTCGCTTTTGCAACAATTGGAGAAGCCAGGAAAGCGATCTCAAAAATGAATGGCGCTCGCATTGATGGTAGTAAAATAGGAGTCTCTTTGGCTAAATACAACCCAAGACATTCTTTTTGGAGAAAGTCTTCGCCAGTTGCTCACCAAAGCCTGAGAGGGAAGTTGTTACAAGAAATAATCTTTGTACGGTAAACGGTGTTGTTGACGAAACGAAACTTCAAGTTTTGGAAAACTGTCTTATGGGTTGGTGCAAGAACTATACCAAAATCGGCAATATGGCTAGCCTAATGCAAGACAAAGGACTCAATGGCTTCTCATTGATGAGAGCAGTTGGGAATGTAGTTCTCATGTTATTTGAGGACTCTGCTACGTTGAGAAGGGTGAAGAATGAACAATCAGAGACTCTTGCAGAGTGGTTTTCCAGAGTGGAAGCTTGGCCAGAGAGTCTAGTGGTAAAGTGCCGACGAGTATGGGTAGTTTGCGAAGGGATTCCTTTTCACGCGTGGAATTGGGGTACTTTCAAGAACATTGCAGCTAGGTGGGGCAAATTATTAACAATTGATGAAAGCTCTCAGTTTCCTTCATCTTTTGATCGTGCAAGATTACAAATCCTCACGGAGACTAAAGTGAGAATTGATGAGTCCTTGAGTTTGAAGGTCGGTTCTAATTTTTTTAAAATCATCCTGCATAAAGTTGAGCTTTCTTTCAAACCAAACTCTTGGATACTTGAGGAAGTCGATGATTCTCTGAATCTGATTTGTTCTCTCGAGGCAATGTCGGAGAATTCTCTGTCAGGATCTTCAGTGTCATCCTCAGGTTTAAATTGCCCCGTCGAAGATGTTGCAATTGAAGGTCCCCACATAGAAAAGGTTTCACTCATAAAGAGCGTCAAAGGTGATGAAGATCCAAGCAACAAATTGGGTGAGGATGACATAACTAAAAGCGGACCTACCGATGTTAGGTTAGGAATGTCTCCTTTCCCTTGTTCAGATGCAGGGTTTCATTCAATGGAGGCTGTGGATCAATCAAAATTTAATATCGTGGAGCATCCAGTTAATAAATCAGTTGATCATTCTGATGGAGTTAGCCTCAGGGCCTCGTAAGATGTTCTTATGATGGGTCTCATTACTTCTCATGGTTTATCCAGTGACGCAATACAATTAAAGGAAGATACCCCAGTGGTGCCCCCTATCCCTGGGAAATTAAGGAAAAATCGTGTGGTGAAGAAATGCAAGACAAAAAAAAATAAAGAGCTCTGATTTAAGTGGCAAGGATTCATTGATTGAAGGGAAGGAAATGTGGTTTTGTTTCATTGAAGATAACTTATTGAGCTGATTCTTTTGGTGATTTTGATACATGTTGGTATTTTGTTGAGGTCCCTTCAGATACGGATGTTTTCGGTTTAATGGTTTTAGGTGTTGTTTTCATGTATGCTACGTCATTAACTGTTGGGTTGTTTTTTCTTTTGCTGGAGGTTTATCTTAGGTATAGGGTGATTGCCTCTAGATCTTTGTGGTCGAGAAGGCGAGAGTTTTAGGTGATGATGTTTTTTGTAATGGTGTTTATCCCCGTTTGAGGGTATTTCGTGTTTTCATATGTAATGGGTGTTTTATTCAATGAAATATGAGGTACTATATTCTTTCTTCCAATGTCCGTTAATATACTTCTTAGTATGTGGTCGAATACGAAGGGAGTTTTTAATGAGACCTCCAACTTCTATCAAAAAAAAAATATTGCAGAATAAAAACTTGACGTGCTATACAAATTTGTATCCTACTCTAACTTCACGATTTTCCAGTTTCATGTTAACGGAATCATGACATCATGTAGAAAAGAAATGCTTAAAAACGAATTTACCTCTGTTTCTCCAGCTGTAGCTGCTACAGCATGAGCAACTTCCATTTCATCTTCTTTCTCAAGAAATGTTGCACGCTTTAAAGCATACAACAATATGAAGTCAGCAATGAGAAATCGCAAAAGGAAAAGAATGCTCACGCGTGTACATGTGACAGAGAGAGGCAAGAAGTTAAACCTCCAACGGATCCATGCTTGCAGTTGATTTAAAAAATCTATCTAAATATGATCCCTCTTCTGAAAAAGAAAAAGGAAAAAATTGTTACCGGATGTTTTTCACAAAATAGGCTAATAGCTACCTAATACCCTTTTAGTTCAATGCTAAAAGGAAGCCTGGTCCTAATCCTGCATGGATTTAAGTAGGTTAGAGAACATCACCATGAAATTCAGTTTCTCATTAATGTCAGGAAAACAGAAAGAACCAATAAAGTTCCCACTCATGGAAACAGCATATATGTTTGACAAGAAGCAAGCTGAAATGTAATAATTAAATTGACACCGTACTGCATATAAAGTTATAAAACATTGTAACATTCGATGTGTCTCGACATGAATGTCAAAATAAGCATTCCTTGTCAATAAATGATGAATGTTAGACTAAACTTACGAAGCTTGATTTCAGAAGTGATGTTTCCAACACCGTGAAGAAGACCAATTGTTCCACATGCGTTTCCCACAGTTTGCTTCATGAAATACACTTTACTGCTAGCATCCTACAGTCAAAACAAAGAAGAGAAAAACATTCAATTAGATCGTACAAAGAATCTTTCATTTAAAGTTACCATCAGAAACTATTGTATTTATTCATTAGATTTCGGGAAAGATATGAAGGGGGAACAGAAAATTCTCAACTTATTTGTCCGCTCTCTTAATGGTGCTTTTCCATTTTCTTTTTGATTCTACTCCTAATTGGTTATTTGATGAACTCCATCATAAAATAGAGTGTCTACTCTCACCAACCAAATAAATTCACAAATTGAAATACTATCCAAACAAATACAGAACTATGTGGTTGACAAGGTGGATATCTATCGAATAAGGCGAGATCATAATCATCTATGAACATAAGGCCTAACTACACAAGCTTGCACAAATTCAGTTATAACAGTTTTATGGTCTAGTTATTTCTTATCAATCCGACAACAGTCTGAAAATACAGCATTGCACTTACTCTTTTCTCCTTGTCTTGCCGCAATCTCTCTTCTTCAGTCTGAAAAGATTCAAACCATATAAATAGACAACTTATTTTGATTTAGGAATATCAATTAAGTTAATTTTCAAGAACTAAAGTTTAAAATTGAACACACCTGAGAAGTAATTGGGAAAAGAAAAAGAACAGCAAGAACAGGCTGGGGAACCATTGCTAAGATTTCATCATCCAAGCCGTAAACATCGCAACACTCTGCTTCATCCACCGGAAGACCCAGACCCCAAAGAAACTGCAGAATACCCCAAAGATTCATAACCATCAATTTGTTAGAGCTTATTACTTATGTAAAAGTTCATATTTCTAAGGTCGGCACGAACTTTTCTATGAAAACAATGAGAAATTTGGGGGAGAAAAAGGAAAAATGAAAAGCACCTGGTTCATGACATCAGGGTTAGCTTCGAGAGGAACCCACCTCTTAGTAGAACTTCCCGCTGGAGTTGTCATTTTGCTTTTCTTGATAAAGAATGAGATTTTAATATTTCCGATGAATAGGGTTTCAGATTGGAGATTGAGAGAAAGCTGAACACTGGAGTCGATTAAAGTTTCAAGTTTTCTATTCTTTTTCTTTTAAATCTGATGAAGCAGACAATAAAAACATAAACTTTGTTTCATGGGCTCCTGGTGATGAAGGGCCCATTACTATTAATAGTCTAGGGTACAAAAATAAAAAATAGATGTTTTATGGTATTTTTAACCTATTTTGACTCCAAAAAGCTTCACCCCATTATTTTGATCCACTCATTCAGTTCCTTCAACATATGAACCGAATCCTTGTTCTCGTCCTTTGCCAACAATGTAGTTTTCTGGGACATTTCGATGTATACCTATCATATAAAACACCCCAATTTGTCCTGCTTGATCTGCATAACAACATCCATACAAGATGACAGTGTCTCCAGAATTTAAGTTCTTCATTTTAACAAAGTTTCTCCATCCTTTTTTGAAACGAAAGGCCTGGATACTACCCGAATACGAGTATCTAAAAGTCCAGGAAACATAATACTTGTCATAGAAAGTTACATCAATTGTATCACTTCCCGTTTGAGCTCCATTTCCTGAACTGTTTCCAAGTGTGGGAAAGTACTGCAATGCGTATTCCTTTGGGATATAAAATCCATTGGTGTTGATCACATCCGTTTGTGTCAGCTGCTGCTGGAATAACATCTTATATGAGAGCCAATTTGCGTTTATTAAGCCGCCTGGTACGGCTTTCCTTGCTTGATGTGCAAGGAAAGTGGTGAAATTTGATGAGTATGTTTTGTCCTTGATCATGTTCAGAATCTCGTTGTCCGAGTATCAGCTCTGGAATGATTTCTCCTGATGTGTGTTAATTATGTGGGGTAAGTTGAGGGGAGTGTTGCCTTCGGTTTTCTACAACTTGATTGTTGCTCGATCGTAAGCAATGGCAGCCTCATCCTCTATTCGATATGTTCCGAATCAGTATGCCTTATAATTGAAGGAAACTCTTGTGCCCCATTTACGATTTAGAAGTGGAAGTGTTGGAAATATAGACTACCAAATCACATTGTCAGTACTGAAAGGACAAATAAAAATAATGGACAAATGAATAACCGAAATTGTGTCATGGTGAAAACCATTGCCTTAGAAACAAATTCTCACCGATGTGTGTAATCGTTGCAATAGACGGATCATCCCCCGAGGTTAACACGGTTGTTCCGAGAATTCGTACACTCGAAACCGGGTGGACTTCTGGTTGTACCACATTGTACTTAGATAACTAAATTGGGTATTTACTATGAATTCCTCAACTAATGGGCTTTAAAACTCATCCCTCTCGACGAATCTAGGACAGTTTCCTATTTAACCCTTTGGTAAGCAGATCTACTAGGTTCCTTTCCGACTTCACATACTCTAAAGAGAGTACTCCATTCCTTATTAAGTGTATAACAAATTCATTCTTGTACGAATGTGTCTCTTCTTACCATTGTAAGCTTTGTTCTTGGCCACACATATCGTAGCTTGTGATTCACATAATAAGGAGACTAGAGGAGTCGATCTTCCTCACAATGGAATTTCAGCTAATAAATTTTTGAGTCATTTGGCTTCTTGCCTAGCTAAGTCAAGAGCTATAAAATCTGACTCCATAGTGGAATGAGCTATACAAGTTTGTTTCACCGATTTCCATGACATTGTTGCTCCACCTATAGTAAAATATACCTGCTTGTAGAGCTTACCTCATCATTATTAACAACCTAGTTGGCGTCACAATATCCTTCTAAAACTGCAAGATAGCCAACAAACTCAAGTTTCCAATCCATCGTACCTTTAGAATACTTGAGTAAGCGTCGAAGAGCAACCCAATGTTCACCACTTGGATTATGAGTATATTAAGTCTGCTCACAGCGTAGACAATATCAGGCTGAGTATAGTTCATTAAGAACATTAGGCTTCCAATTATTTTAGCATATTCAGTTTGGGAAACATTACTTCCTTTATTTTTAAAGAGATATATGATAGGGTCATAAGGAGTTCGAATAGGGACGACATAAAAACTGTCAAACTTTTTTAACACTTTCTCAATGTAATATGTTTGATTTAAAGAAAATCTCTTTTCAGTTTTTGTAACTTTGACTCCTAAGATTACATCGACTTCTCCCAAATAAGTCATTTCAAGTTTAGTATATAAGAAAACAAATTTTTTAATGGACTTAATGTTAGTACTGAAAATTAACATGTCATCAACATATAAACTTATGATGATGCAATCAGTACCAAACATCCTCGAATACATGCATGCATCTAAACCATTCACAAAAAAACCAAAACTCATAATAGTTTTGTGAAATTTCTCATACCACTGTTTAGGAGCTTACTTTAGGCCATAAAGTGACTTTTTCAGTCTACATACTTTGCCTTTCATGCCAGGTGCATCGAATCCAAGAGGTTGCTCCATATAGATCTCATAATCTAGATCTCCGTTCAGAAATACAATCTTTACATCCATTTGATGTACTTGCAACTTGTCAATAGAGGCTAGTACAAATAATGCACGGATCGTTGAGATTTTCTTTACGGGAGAATATGTATCAAAGAAGTCTAAGTCAAACTTTTTAGTGAACCCTTTGACAACTAGCCTTGCCTTGTATCGCTGGATCGAACCATCTGGTTTAAGTTTCTTCTGGAAGACTTGTTTGTTGTTGATTGGTTTAAATCCTCTAAGCAAGTCAACAAATTCTCAAGTATAATTAGACATTATTGATTCCAGTTCAGCATTAATAGCGTTTTTTTCTAGAAACTAGCATCAATAGATCTTATAGCTTCCTAATAAGTTTTAGGATATTCATCTAGTAGAAAAATTTGAGCTATATGATCAGATATTGAGTCTAACTCATTTATCTAAAAATAAAGAAAGTGATAAAGTCTGGTCCAAAAGATGTTTCAATTCTTTGTCTTTTACTTCTTCTAGGTTCAAACTCAATCTCTTGAGAACCCTAGCAACTACACTAGAAGAAGTAGATGGTAATTTTTCTATTTGTGTTTCCTCATTTAATCTATGTTTCTTTAGTGGAAAAGTATCTTCAAAGAAAACAACATCCCTAGATTCACAAATAGAGTAGTCTTGTAAACACATGAACCTATATGTGGCATTGTTTGTAGTATACCCTATAAACACTGCATCAACAATTTAGGACCGATGGTAGAGCTCTTAAACTCTGGTAAGCCCACTTTAGTCAGACACCCCTACACTATCAGTTATTGCACATTTAAAGCGTAATTTTTCCATAATTCATATAGAGTAGAATCTAATTTCTTGTGAGGTACTCGGTTCAAAATATGATTTGTCGATAGAATGACCTCCTATCGCATGTTGTCAGCTAACCCAGAACTTATCAATAATGGTTCATCATCTCTTTTAAAGTTTTGTTTTTTTCCTTTAAATTATATCATTATGTTGAGGAAAGTAGGGAGTAGAAGTTTCGTGAATTATGTAATTCTTCTCACACACCTCTTTTAAGAAATTTGATCAATACTCACCACCTCTATCAGATCTAACCTGTTTTATTCTCCTATCTAACTGATTCTCAACTTTTGTCTTATAAATAAGAAAGAAGTTCTCAACCTCATCTTTAGTTCTTAGGAGATACACTTTTGTGTGTCTCGAATAATCATCTACAAAAGTAATGTAATAGTATTTCCCTCCCTTATTTTCAGAGTTTCTAAAATCTGCTAGATTAGTATGTATAAGTTATAACAGTTCATTTTCTCTATAAGAAATTATCTTAAAGTGAGGTTTAGCATGCTTGGCTTCTACACAAATCTCACATTTGTTAAAGCTAATTATGTCTAGTTTAGGTAGAATATTCATTTTTATCAATTTCTTTAAAGAGTGAATATTCACATGTCCTAATCCAGTATGCCACATATCAATAGTCTCAATAGTGTAAGCAGAAGTGGTAGCTTTATTCTCATTTAAGTTGAGTTTCTATGATAAATAAATCCCCATTCTGAAAACATTTGCCAACACAATCACCGTTTCAGGAAAAAACAAGTTTATTTGCCTCAAAAACTAACTTAATGTCTTATTCAAAAGTCTGCCACTTAATAAATTTCTATGCAGGGAAGGTACATACAGAATATTGTTTAGGGCTAAGTTTTACCGGAAGTCAGCTTGAGTAAAACCTTGTCTTTGACTAGCACTTCAGAGTTGCTAGAGTTCCCCGTGTACACACGTTCACCTTTGTCCTCATCCTCAAACTCAGTGAAAAACTCATTCCTTGTGCAAAAATGTCTGGAAGCGCCGGTGTCCACGACCTATTCATCACTGTTCTCTACTGGATTAACCTTTAAAACCATCGATGCGATGACATTATCAACATTGTTCTCTGTAACATTTAGTTGTGGTTTGTTCTTATTCTAGCAGTTTGAGCAATGTTGCCATTGGTAAGCTTTGTGACCAACTAGAATGCAAACATAATGCTTGAAAACTTCCCTTAAGCTTTGGGCTTCCCTGGTTTCTTGAAGTTAGTGCCTTTCTGGGGTTTCGTCTTCTTGTTTTAATTTCCTCTTTTCGCGGTCTTTTTGAATTTAGACTCTGAGGTAGCACCAGACTCAACCAAGTTAGCTTTAAAGGAAAAATAACCAATATAGTTTGTAACATTATATTTCAAACAGTTAGCATCCTCTATCTCATCTGTTTCTCAAGCGAAATATCCTCTTTTTATGGTTGAGAGAGTTATGACAATTGGACCAGGACTTGGGCAGCTTCTCGATTAGGACATTGTCTTGCAACACCTCGCACATTTGCATCCCTTCAGCAATAATGTTAGATGCCATCTTTTCGTAATCATGGACTTGATCCATAATCTACTTGTCATCGATCATCTGGAATCTCAGTCACTCACCAACGATGTACTTCTTGATGCATGCATCAATAGCGCCATATTTTTTCTCAAACGTGTCCCAAATTGTATTGGCACTTCTTTCTTTGAGGAAAATATCGAAGAGCTTGTTCGACATATGGCTCAGAAGATGTCCTTGCATCATCTTGTTATCTTTCTTATACGTTTCAACAGCAGCGATGATAGCAGAAGTAACGGTAAAAGTAGCGACAACATTGGGTAAAGCCTCTTCACCAGTAGAGGTAGTATCAGGTGCAACTGAACTTTCCGTCGGAGTAAAAGGTGGTGGTGGCTTCAACAACACATTGTCCAAATCAAGCTACTCAAAGAAAATTAAAATGCGTTGGGACTACCTTCGATAATTGGACCCATCCAATGCATCAAGTTTTGAAAGATTGGGAATCAACTTGCTCAACGGTGTCGACAATTTGCATTAAGAATTTGTTTCTAAATTGTTGGAAATATAACTATACAATCACACTTCTAGCACTAACAGGACAAATAAAAACAATGAACAATTGAAATCATGTCGTGGTGAAAACCATTACCTTAAAACAAATTCGCCCTGATGTGAATAATCGTTGTAATAGGCGGATTGTCCCTCAAGGTTAACACGATCGCTCCAAGAATTCGTACACCCGAAATTAGAGTGACTGCTGGTGGTACTGCTCTTTGATAGCCACGAGCCACAACCTCAACCATGAGCACGAGACGAGACAGGCAGACAGCGGCGGCAACGGCATGCGAGATTGTCCTTGTTCTATGGCACTTAACAAAGGAAGGAAGAATGAACACTATAAATACCTAAGCTCAGTGGTATTTCCCACTCAATGTGGGATAGTGTTTAACGTATTACTAAAAAAAGCACCCTCTTTTCATTGAATCAGTTATTCATGTAATTATAAAAATTTT